TGCAGATGCGACGCTGCTTTTGGAACGGAAGTAGTATTATGTTTTGTTATTTCATTGAAGGATACATTCACATTCACATCCCCCCAGCCCCCACCCCACACACCACCACCACCTCCATATTTTCACTGCGCTGCAGGGAATTCTCGTCGATCCTCGCCGCCAACCCGGCCCCACCCCACCCACGTGCCGACATCAGCGGCCCTTTATCCATGCACACGGGCAGGGGCCTATGACGTGTCTGCACAACCTTGGCGCCATTGACTTGGGGGAGCACTGCGAGGCTCGCAATAGGAGCCCTCACTGGTACACCCTCGGTTCCTTCACCGGGGGACACCTTAACTTCGATATCCACGGTCTTGACGACCTGAGAATACGTCGAAGATGGCTCGCGGCGTCTTGATATATAGATCAAAAGATATGTTTTGTTGAAATCAAAAAATGTGCATTTTTTCACAGTTTACTGCACAATACGGCTGCCCAAATTGCGTCGGTATGGGAGCTAACCGTCTGTTAGCTTTAGCACATTCTTCTTATGACTATGTCCGAATTGTGTCGATACGGGAACCAACCGCCTCCAAGGTTGAATGCGTTCTCGGTGTCACTTTGCACCAGTGTCCGCTCATACCAAACCTTGGCGGAGGAAGTAACAGCTTGCCTCCCTCCACGGCGGTGCAGAAGAGAGGTTGGCGCAGTGTGGGGTCGACCGGCCGCATTCAATTGCGGTGGCGGATTCTAATGTGAGTTGGCTTCTCACAGCAGTGATGCTGTTCAAGCAGTGACGCTGTTCACAGCAGTGATGTTGTTCACAGCAGTTCAGCTATAGCTCATCGCATTTGCGCAGCTTGGGTTTTGCTGCTGCTCTTCCGGCCTCGACAGATGCCGGTGAGCGCGTTGGGTGGCGGTGGGACGCCCTACTATCGCCCAACGCACACACCGGCATCCGGCACACCGGCACGTGAGTCCGCTGTGGGCCGCCCCTCCCATGCCGCTGTGCTGCACAGGAGGGTGTTCCGTCTGGACCAACGGAAAACTTCAGCGAAGAGGATGGTGGGTTTGGTCAATGGTTTAGGTCCAGGGGTTGATTGCAAGCGCATGAACGTATTTCAGCAATGCCCATGATTAGCTGCATGACCATTGACGCGCATTGACGCGCACCAGATGGCCATTGACGCGCATGAAGGCAGACTCACGTGATTCATACATAAATATGATTGCGCATGTTAAACATTGTCAATTCATGTTGCGTTGTTTTCAAATAACGCCTCACTAATCAAAAACTGATATAATTACCAACTAATTAAAACACGGCTCATGCACACAGTGACATTTCTCCCTCGCACCGTTAGGTCGTAAACAGGAGGGTAATCTTGCCAAACATGCAGGAAGATACGCAATTGAATATACGGAATGCAGCCGCGCTGGTGCCCTTAGAGCTTTCATGCATGGCAAACCACATCACAAGCCATCAAGTAAGCCTCGGAAAATATGGCGGCTTAGATTTATGTAATTTGTGAGACACAAAATGTTATGCGAAATCGTGGTCAAGAGGCGCCGCAAGGAGCAGGTACGCTTATTGCGAGCAGTCGCAGTCAGGAAAAAACCAATTGCTCTGCGACACAGTCTTGATGACTGACAAGCATTCAATTAAATTTGTTCACCATAATCTATTTATAAATGAGAATTTGTGTTGTATTAAATTTTGGAGATTCTCCAGACAATGAACATGCAACACAGCATGTCTTCCATATTTTTTGAAATCGCATGTTGTATCGAAAGGAGCGTTGGAGCTATTTCATAGAAAATTTTGCTGATGACAGGAAAGGCTTTGTGGATTTTGTGTGTAGCAGTACAGATATGAAGATGAAACCGCAGCGTATTCATTTTTGTGCAGGGATTGCAAAATAAACCATGAGAAAGGCTTTCCCCGTTCTGGTAAGCCAAATGAAATGGAGACTTTGGAGCAAAGAACATTGCACGTAGCTCACCATCATTAACGTAACCATCCGCTGGCGCATGGGTTCTGTTTAAATGGAGCATAACAGGTAGGGCTTTAAAAACATTAGAGTGGCGCGGACGCATCGGAATTATTGCATGGTGGTAAATCTGTCTTCTGTGCGTTCCTTTTTGTGACGTATAATTGGCCACAATACATTGCGGAGATTAGGGCTGGTGGCTTTTCAACAAGAATTGAACAGGTATCAGTTCGGCCAGCATTCGTATCAACAACCATTGCCGGAATCGGCAGCACACTAGGCTTGTGTCGAGCCAATGACTGAAGTTGTTTTCTTTGTCCAATTATGGTGTTGACGGCTGCTCCCTTGCCTTGATGTGATGCATTTGACTCAGTTTTGATTTAATCACATGTACATTCTTTCTCATCAAAAACAATGGATGAAACGTTCCAATAGCCGTTTTACATCCTGAAAAACCATTGATTTTAGGGAAACCTGATATTTCAATTTGGGAACAGGGTCCGAAGCGATTGCCTTGATGGGAATATCTTAGAAGAAGATTCCTCACAGAAACAGTGTGACTCCCTATCAATATATCGATGTGTTCAATGCGCACAAAACGACTATGTGTCTCAGGGCAGAGGCCACCAAAAGGTAGCCTGTTAAGACCCCACGGCGGAAACACCTCAAGGACGCAACACCGCAACTGTATTCACTGCACACTTTCCCCGGTAACGACAATTCACGAAGTACTTGCTAGCTGGGGCTGACCACTGTACAGCCCGTGGCTGTCCGTGACAATGGGGTGACACACAGGCGGTTTTCACAGCTGTACCTCAAAATGGTTTGCGAGGTAGTCCATGCGCAGCGACTGTCCAGCTCGCATCGCCCATTTTCTCTCAAACAGCGATGAAACCAAGGTCAAAGCTCGCGGATGACTCAGACACTGCAACTCCTCCCGCTGAAATCCGCCGCGGTGAAAGGTTTCACGACATGGACTCTCCGATAGGCATTGGTCAAGGAGCGCGTGACAAGAGAGCGAACGTTCCAGACAAAGCGGTGCTGTGTGATGAATTTTGCCAAATTTCTTTGGTCAAGCCCTCGCAGCGGCCGCCAGGACCGCCACTGTGCGCCTTGCGCGTGTTTGGGCGGTTGCGCGTTTGGCATGCATCCATTGACAGAAAGGAAGCCCGCCGTGTGCCGCATCCCAAAGTCAGGGCTGCCAAGAGGCGCCCACGGCAGAGGCGGCCCGAATTGGGCCCTAAGTCGATATCCAGGATCAACAGAGATGGCACTATGAACGGCCATGTTCACAAACCGCTGGGGCCGATTTTAGCGCCCCGACTTTTTGTGTTGTACATTGGACTACAATCAACGAGTCATTGACGCAGCTTTCATCATCAAGAATTTTTACATTTGGATACATGCAACTTGCTGGTGTTAAGCAAGCATCGCAGTGCTGCCCTGCGGCTGCGCCAACAGCTGGCCTGGTGGGGTTGGGCCCCACCACGATTGGGCGCCCTTACGTGGAGCGACCGCCCTCATGGGGATACGGGGGAAGGAGAGTCGGCCTTTGAGTTGTAACGAGGGATGTTCCCAACCCAACAGCACCACATATATACTCTATGACAGACTACTATTCCTGTCTGATTTGACTCCAGCATGGCGTGTCCAATTCCCATTGCCCTCGCCAGGCGCTCGTTTCCCCAAAATCACCCCATCAAAGCCATGAACAAGCTTCGCATCTCGGCACCAACACTGGGTAGTGGCCGCCAATCACTCAGCGTTCAGCATACGTGCCGACAACGCACAGCCGTCGTAAGACTCACATAACCCAGGGGGAGCCGTTCACAGCTTGCGGCTCCCATGGTCCGGACGTCGGGAAGGTGTTGAGGATATGCGTGTGATGAGGCAGTCGGTTGCGCATCAGGCTGTGAAGGAGGCGTCGATGGCGTGCAGGGGAAGGGAAAGAGTTGGAAGCCTCAGCTGTGGCAGGGGGTGCGGGTGGTTTGAAAGTTGGCAACCCCAACCACCAACTCGTGGTCTGGACAACGAGAATTGGCACTGGCTTGGAAGCTTGGGGCTTGGGGTTCGACAAGGACAGTGCGTGACAGTGTTGTTCACTGGCCGCCAGGAGCTAACCTTGAAGAAACAGCTATGACTCCCTGCCGAAGTTGGTGTGTGATTATCTAAAGGCGTAGCCCGGATGTGCCAAGTATGTACCGCACCCTGCCAACTTGGTACCTGGGTTTGCGGGGCCCGGGTAGGTGGGTACAGGAAATCGCTGCACTTTGCCCGTGTACCCTGGGCCATCACTTGCCGGGATGCCACCTTGCTCCCATGTCCACCAGCACGCTAAACTCCGCTGGGCGCGCCCCCATGTACTAAAACACACATCCACCAATCTATCCTCAACGTCCTTTGAGCCGGGTGCGCCAATGTGCGGTACGAACCACCATGTTCGCCCAACGCACTGCCACCAACAGGCACATGGGTGCACGATGAAGAATTCGCACATCTCCAGCTAAACTGCGCCAGACCAACTCGCCGGGACATGTTGTTGGGTGGAAGGGCACTTGCGGGGTTGGACTACCCTCTTGCTGCCCCTGGTCCAGGTGGTTTGGTAGAGCAGTGGGACATCCCCCCACAGGTACCCGGCTCGGTCCCCAGTCAGGCATCCTCGTTGCCACCCGCACTAGCACAGCTCCCGTCCCTGTGGCAACCCCTGCCTGGTGGCGGAGGCCACTGGGGTTAATGCCAGGCGCCTTCGCCATTGTCACTCACTGTCAATCAATCAATCAACCAATCGATCGATTGATTGTGCTGTTGTAACTGTGCTGATGGAGTAGCATCGACAGGCGGAAACATAAAGAGGTGATGAGACGTTAGGAACGACATGCATCAAGGACATTGATGAACGGACAGGATACAAGCGACAGCACCCCTGTTGTCCCTTGCTCTGTCGTAAACCGTTTTGCCATGTACTCGAGCCTGCAGTCCCCAGTCTGGATCGCCACCCCTCGACCCCGCCTGCCTTCGTCAGCGCCGTCATTCATCGCACTTGATGATCTCCGCCACCTTCGGCACTTCCTGGGAGCCCTCGGGGAACGTCGGGAGCTTGCACTGCGGGTCTGCGTGGACCTCAGGGAGCCTGGCGTAGGGGTCACACAGGCCGGCGCAGTCGGGGAAGTCGTAAACCACAAGGGATGTCTGGCTGCACGACGCCTCGCATAGGCGCCGGTCGTCATAATGCGAGATGTTGAACGCCAGCAGCCAGGAGCCAAGGGTCACGTCTGAATGGCACACACGGCAGAGTGCGGAAATTCCATTAGCTGCATGAGTTGAATGCAATGAATGAAGCGAACATTTGAATGAATGGGACATAAACTGCAAATTTATATGGCAGACGACGTCACCACATGCTGTGCAGCCCTTGTGAACCACCGCATTGGCCCAATTCTGACAAAGCCTGGCCTTTCAAGAGCACGGGGACGTGGGGGGGTCTGGCTGCTATCGTCGATCCCAGTTCCTTGTTTCTGGCCCAATCGCCTTTTGCTTTGGACGCCTCTATAATCCAAATTCCCGTGGACGCCTAATTCGAACGAAGCCAATTGTGCACATTGTGCAATGGAATGTTACCTGATGCTGTTCCCCCACATCTCCCCCTGAACGCAAAGGGCAATGGTATGTCACATCTTGCCGCGCACGGTCACGGCGAATTTTCGCTTCTCAATCTCTGGTCCAAAATCACGGCGCTCCAATGTGCTGCCAACACACAGGCTGCAGCCACTGCGCTTATCTGCCAGTGTGAGCGATCGCAGAGTCCATTCTATGCAGTGCTGACGGCAGGTTCGCCTGGGAGGCTGTTGAATATCTCTTGTTGTGACGAACGTGGTACTTTGTGCCTGAGTACTTCACACCAACTGGTGCATATGCATTCGGTGATGACGACATCAAATGCATTCCCAAGGAGTGACAAACGTTGGCACATTTCCAGTAATTCTGTCCGTGCACAAAAGCGCAACGTTCCACAACACTCACATTTGTTGATCTAGTAGTAGTCAATTCTGAAAGTGCCACGAACTTCAAAGTAAATGGTGTACCAAATTAACTGTACTGAAGGGGCAACGAGTCTTGCAGCAGCATCTGTGTTTTGGTGCAACAATCTCCAGCGCCTTCGCACCTTCGTTGTTGAAGAACCTCAGCATGTTTGGATCGATGCTTGACAGAAGCGCAGCTGCTCGCCCACTCAGAGCATACACGCATCCCCAGGCGTGTGTGAAGTATGTTTTCGAGCCCAGAAGCCTGTGCTGTGGCTCGTACCATCTGTAGTGTCGGTCGGTGAAGATCTGCCCATTCTTCATGCAGCCAACGTAATCTGCCAAAAGACACCAGCAGCAAGTAATACATGTGCAACTGTCTTGTTCCAAATGGGCTCAGAAACGATACCAAGCTCTTGACATTCAGATGGAACAAGTGAGCAAGGTGGGAAGATGCGACCAGGTCCTATTCAGATTCACACACATCTGCGCGTTCCTCACCTCACATTCGTACGTTTCTATTTTGGGACATCGTTCCAAACTATCTAAATCATCGACTTGTCAAAGCATTGCAGAACCAAGAGATGAGATAGTGGCATGATGCTGATACATTCGACCACCCATGGATGCGATTACCACTGACAAATATAACCAGCCTGGCAGAGGGATCGCAATAGCAACATATAATGCCCTTGGGGTGGTCTGGTGTCCTGATGTCACCCAGAAGCACTGAACAGGTCCCACTTTGTCATGCACTGATCAAAGTTTGTTGCTATGTTTCACACACATGTAGTATGGAATTGCTGTTGAATGCTTGCTGTGCTCCCTGCAGCTAGCAAACAGCAAGGTTGGGTGTTGGGAGTGAACATAGTGTTTTCTATCAAGTTCTGCACATGCTGCATCATCGCGACACTTGCACTCAGTGCCTTTTCCGGCCAAAGTGGGTACAATTCTTCGCATATACGATCAACTGCTCAATGGTTCCACTGCACGAATGCATATGCTGCACAATGTACAGCACAGTCCATCGCCACAATAAAAAAAGAGGTGCCACTTTGCCAAAAGAGCTGATACATGGGTGCAGTTCAGCTGCAGCTGCATTGCAACAGCCTTCTGAGTCACAGATATGACTTTACGAACGTTTGGGGGGAACAAGCACATTGATGTGCAGCCCCAACAGTGGGCAAGTAAGCAGATAAGGAACAAGACAACAGAAAATGGAACTGCCCACACACAAATCCAATGCAGGGGAAATTGGCCAAGCACTGCATTTTAACTGTCTCTGCCATCTTCCACACAGCACATCCATTGAATCCTTCACTTCTTGTCAGGGTATGGTAGGCATGTACACTTGGTATGTACAGTTCACTGGTGCAAAAATGGGCAACTGGGCAGGCGAGTGGGGTGTGGGGAAAGGGTTGGTAGATAGAAACCAGCAGTGTCATGCCATGTTGTGCACATGTTGGGATTCATTTTTTGGAGCACCATCTTGGCTGGCTGCACCCTGAGCAGAGGAACCTAGTCAAGTGGCAGGACAGACAGCAACAATGCACAGTCACAATGAGATGCCAATCAAAAGGACAGAAGATTGCATATCTTCTGTCGTCTATTCTCGCAATGCATTGATTGACATCAAGAAAATTAACAAAAATATTCTGGAACCAGCACCATGGATCGAACAATGCCCTGGCAATGGCCAAAATGTCCCTGGGGGATTCAAAACACCAGCCTTGAAATGCGCACCTTTTTTCATGCTGGACCACTGGCGCACAACTGAGGGAAGCCTGTCAAGGCGTAAGTAGACATCATCATCAATCTTCACGATGTAGTCAGCATCATACAGGCTGACAACCATGCTAATGAAAGCCAACGTCTTGTGGGCAAGGTTCAAGTAGCGCTCCTGTGGAAACAGTTGGTACATTGAAATCAACATCAGCACAAGTTCAAACCCTTAATCTGGACACCACTAAGTACAGACAGACATACCTATTCTGTCAGCGTCTCCACATGAAGCATATTGACCTGCTACAGCATCAGTTATACTTTTGCATGCTGGACACTGTATTCCATTGGCTTTTGTCCAGCAACACACATCAGGAAAATCAGCAAAAGTCAAGGGGTCGCCTTGGCCTATTGGACACAACCAAGCACAAGCTGGACAAGACACAAATATCAAACTGTACACAAAATGAAAAAGAAAAAATCTGTACAGTACATAAACAGTTGACTACATCAATGCAAGCATGAAACTCAGCTGTGTCTGTGCATCCACCAGGTCTAAGAATGCTGACTGGCATCAACAAACCATTACATGTACTTTCCTGTTCTACTCGTGAAGTTTGGTATCATCTTCAAAGGCATGGAGAGGAATATCACAAAATTATGGGTTTGACCCGAGCAGGAAATGTACCACTGTCTGCTGAAAGAACTTTCACCCGTTCTTCCAGATTGCCCCCTCGATGCAGGATATGTGTCCATTTATTACTGGACGTTGAAAAGCAACAGATTTTTCTGTGCCTGTCAGGGCACCAAGATGCTCAGGCTTCGTTTGTCATGGGTACTCCAGCAACAACAATCCACCGAATTTCGTCTCCAACCATCCAGAGGGGCGTTGCACACACGAAAACAGGAAGGGCAGGAGTGATACACAGACCTCAAAGTCAATTCTCAGGAAGCATCCCCCGCATTCATTCGATTCGTCACCAATTTGTTGCTCCATCTCAGGATTGTCATGCTTCCCGATCACAAAACGAAGTACAATGTTTTCCTTCTGTTGCAGCCTGCAAATCAAGCAAACAGCACGAAAAAGTACATCATTGCTCTGTCCTGGACCTCAGACTGCCAGTCCCATGGAATGCCATCTCTGCTTGATGGTTGACAATGCATCGCCCCACTGGCCCATTGTTGTGCTCCGATTCAATTTCCACATCAATCGAACAAGCCGCTCTCAATTGTCTTGTGGTGATGCAGACAAAGTGCAAACTGAATGATCGACTTCAGCCCTTGACGATCACAGAGTGGACTGCGGATTTTCCACTTCCCCAGTTTGCGCAAGGCCAGCGGCTCTGATAGAACTTTGCAAGAACTGGAAGGTGGGTGCCAAGCCCAGGACGAACAAAAGGGACTTGCATGAGCTGTACGTGACCAAGGATGGGCATTGATTGGCAGGCCCGAACGTGATTCCCTGGACCACCAGTGTGATTGGACAAAGGTAATCTCCATCTTTTTGGTGTCCTGCCATCACTTGGTTGAGCTCAATGGACAACTGCAGCATCCACCACAAGCACAATAACAACGGCCACATAATGGCAAATAGGAAACACTTGCAGGTCTTTTCCATGTTTGTAAACATGCAAACGATGTGGGCTTGCAGCGAGTGGGATTTCAATCAAGCCAGTTGGACAGCTTTTATCTCTCACCTGTCCAGTGCTGCTTGGTTTTCCGGAAACCAAGTCTCTCGGAGCCTGCCTCTTCTGCGCTGATAGTTGTACTTAGACTTATCAGCAATGTCATGTGTGAAACCTGTCTGATGCACCAGCACAGACTCAGGAGCAGTCAGCCCTCTCTGCTTGTTGTGCCCAACTGTTGCACCACTGCTGATCATTCACTCTTTGAGTCTTTGCATCGACCTGCAATGCGATTAATCTTGGAGCTGACCTGCGTCAGGCACAGCCTTAGTTGTGTTGGAACGTTTGCAAGCCCTTGGCTGTTTTCAAGCAACTAATTGTCTTGGCCTGATAACACTGGAGCAACAAGGTTCATAGGATGGATCTGAGATTGATAGCCACCAGGACTGATCCTGCAGAAATATCATTCTGGATAAGCCTGCAACTACATTGGATGCATGGGCCCACCATTCACAATACATGTGTTGTGTGCTGAGAAAATCGCCTCGCTGCCAATGGCAATGGCACTCGCTCCTCTGTTGAGTTTGCTTGCTATCAAGTCCCAAGAATGGCCCTGTTTATGCAATGCAAGCAGAAGGCCAAGAAGGTGGCCAAAGTACTGTGTCTATTCGAGCAGGACGGGGCTGGGCACCTGACCTCTGTAGTGCGATGCCAAATTTTGAAGCACAGAAATTTCCAATGTGTAAACCCCACTGCCCAACCAAGGCCATAGTGTTCCTCGTGAGGAACAGTGCAATGGGTGCATGCCTTGCTACATCCATCATTTCCAGGTGCTACGCCACTTTCGCAAGTGGGGATACAGGCAGCAGTAAGTGGCTGACTACAACACAGAAAGCGTTGCAACATTCCCGATATGCACACCTTTGAAAAGCACTGAGAACGGTACATGTACAGGGATGGAGACTGACACAGGGACCAGCCTTTAGGGTAAGATTTGCTACAAAAGAGAAAGAGAAACAAGTCATACAGAGGGCACCGTACCGGCCGTTAGGGTGTAGTTTAGGTTAGGCTTTAGGTCATTATTAGGATTTAGGGATTTTAGGGTTTAGGTACCGGTCTCAGTACCTGTCTTGGTAACGGACTGGTTTCTGTGCATCAGGAACGCCCTTGAATGTGCAAAACACATTTTCAAATCCAGTGCAGTGGACCAGCCGATGCACAGGCGGTCAAGATGACTGCTGATATCCAGCAGTGTCTTTGAAACTTGTCCAGCAAGCAAGCAGATTTGCTAAAGAACAGCAACAGGCGATTTTCGCAGTGAGGTGGTGAAGAGAACAAGCACTGGCACATGTACGGCATCCTTGCCTTGAAGAACAAGCCCCTGCCCCCCCCCCTCCACCCTAATCCTGCACATCCCATCAGCACTGTGGCATGACCCACTCCAGTCTTTGTTTGAGGCAATCACATACTTCAAGGGAGCACATGCTTCAGAGGTGAACAGTGCCTCTCATCGCCCACGGTCAAACACTCATTCTATGCAATGGACAGACAGACGTCTGGTAATCAAAGAAGACGTTAACAGCTTTGGCTGGCACGTATCCTTGAGGCATGGATACTGGCACGGACTGCTTGTTGTTTGGATTACCTCTCAAGCGCAGCGGAGGTGAAATTCCTTGCACTATGTACAGGGGTAGAGCGCGAGCATTTGGGATCCTGTTTTCCTGGCAATCAGCTGTCCACAGAAACAGCTTCCGCCACTTCACGATTGCGTTCGCATCTTATCCATAGCCAGCACGACGGGGTGTTCCGGTCTGCAGGAGCCTCTTATTGGTTGGGATCCAAGCGACTCGGCAGTAGATGCAGAACTGCCAGTCCCCTTGCACGATCGCTCCTCGCCCCGCCGATTAAAGCGGGCGCACCCACACCCGCCGAGTTTCTCGCAGCAGCGCGCATCCCTCTCGCAGCCTCGGGCTGGAGCAGACAGCCCCTCGAGCGTTCGAATAACAGCACCGCAACTGACAAGGGCAGCAAACCGTCGCCTTCACACCTCTCCCAGGGAAAGATTCGACGACACATCAATCCCTCAGCGGCACCTATATCATCGTGTTCTCGCTCCAGGTCCTTGCATTTTTTCGACACAGCAAATCTTCCCGATGCCGCGCCCCACCTGGACGCCCACGAAGGCCAGGATCTTCTTCCTGCCGCCGCCCGCGTGCAGCCCCCTCCGCGCGTCAGTCGCCCCTCCCCCCGGACTCCTGAAGCTCCCGCCGAGCGACCCCAGCCCCAGCACGCCCGCCAGGATGAGGGCGATCGCCACCACCGTGCGCAGGGCGGGCCGCCCGGGCGGCCGCCTGCGGTGCGCCGGGCCCGCCTCCCCGCGCCACCGCGCCACCCTCCCCGCCTCCCGCATTGGGAGAATGGCGGAGGACACGGTCAGATCGAGCCGCGCGGATGCCGGAGAAGATGCAGCCTGCCGCCGACTGGACCTGAACGAGCGCGAGGACTGCCTGTGCGGTCAGCCGAGGCTGTGAGAGAGCCCTCCAAGGGGCCTCTCCTTGGTGGGAGCGTGATTGACGGACATCCACGTTCAGAGGGCACCCCGCACCAGTGTGCAGGAGAGTGCGCTCGAACACAGGCAAAATGACAGCGGTGTCGCTGTACTTACGGTTCGGTTGTTCAGTGACTGGGGAACTATCTAGTAGGGAACTACCTTGTGGGGAACTACCGAACTACTGAATGTACTCAGGTACTGCGGGGGGAGGGATGCACCGCGCTGCGAGGATCCGATTCCGTAGAATCGAATCGGATCGGATCGGGTCGGGCTCAGAACCCGATCCCCGATTCCTGGCACCGGCCCCGAAGTCGGTTCTGCCACACCTTCAGGCCGGCGTCCCGGGCCGCAAAGGCGGAGCCCACCGACCTCCAAGCCCTGAGAGTATTGCGGCCCGGCACCACCCCGTTGATGTGCGACGCCTCCGCGGGCGTCCGCCCCTGACGACCTTCCTCTCCACCGCTCCGCCGCAGCCCCTCGGCCAGAAAAAGGGATCACGGAGCTCGGCGAGGGTTGAGCAGATCGCGGATCTCGCCCCCGCGGCCCCAATCGCCGCCCGGGGGTCCGGTCGGCCGATCGAGTCCGCACCACGCCGCCCCCCGCCACCTTCGAGAGCGGCTTCGGCGGCATGGAGAATGTGACGCCATCCGGCGACGGGCCGCCGCCGCCGGATGACGACAAGGCGGCGAGCCGGCGCCACGCGCTGGTGGTGCTGGTGCTGCGCCACCTGCGCGACGAGGGGTACAGCCAGGCGTACGCCGCGCTGTGCGGCGAGGCCAGGATCACGCTGAGCCAGGTGTGGATCGGCCGCCGACGTGCGCGCCCCCGATCGGTGCGCTCGGCGGGAAGCGGCTGCGCGGTTGTTTGCGCTGCCCGGGCTCGCCGCGGAGAATTCCATCGCCCGGTTGCGGGGTGGGCGTTGGTGGGTGGGGGGTGGGGGGAAGATTGCTTGGCACGCGCACACTCGCGCGTTTTGGGGGCGTCCTGTGGCTGCCGGGGGCTGTGCGGAAAGGGAGGGGGGCGCACGCTTTATCCGGGGTGCCGCGTTCCGCGTTCGGCCACTAAGGGCGCCACGCCCGTCCCGCCTCCGGGGGTCTGGGAGCGGACCTCGCGGTACAAGGCGACCCGGGCCTTCCCGGCGCCACCAGACTGGCCCCCGCCTGGCGACCCGGCCTCCGCCGGGGCCGTCGCCCGCTCACGCGTGGCCGCCTTTTTTTCTCGGTTCGAATTGTCCCCGATCGCGATGCTGCCGCTGTGCGGCCTCGGTTTGGGATCGGATCTTGTTTGTGGGCGAGCGGGTTCGGCTGGTCGGACGGGGGGAGGTCGGATGCGGTGGGGGCGGGGCGGGGTCCCCGCCCGGCCCTGGGGCGTCATGCTGAGGTTGTGTTTGCTGTGCGACGGCAGTTGGACGTCGCGGACAACATCAACCTGAGCACCGTCGTCAGCGGGTACGAGGAGTTCTACCTGGCCAAGTACGGGCGCCGGCCGAAGCTGATGCGCCGCCTGTCCGGCGACTTTCAGGTGGGCGGCGGATTGGCAATCGGCGAACCTCGACGATCGGCGATCGATCGCGCAGCGACGCCAGCGCGCGGCGCCCCGGCCCACGGGATCCTCCGGCCTCTTCGGGGCGCGATGGGTCGCGACGTCCGCGCTTGGGCGCCTCCGACGGCGCGGACGACTTGAATGATTCAATGCCGTCCGCAGCCGGAATCTCGGGCTGCTTTCCGACGGCCAGGATGCCCTGCCAACGGCGCTTCCTCCCTGGTCGCTTACTGGCATGCGTACACACCGTGCTCGAGTACTGACCTGCGCAGACGGCGGGCGACAAAAACAGAGACCCTCCAAGATGGGACTCTTCCGGAGAAAGGAGCCGCTCTTCTCCTTTCGCCTCGATTCCCGCCTGGTGGGAGTGATTGAACTCGACCGGCCCAACCCCTCGATGCCCCTACCACCCTTCAAGATCGATCGACTGCCCGTTCATCGAATGCTGATCAGCGTTTGCCCCCGTGTTTCGCAGCCGCCAATTCGGACCTCCCTCACGCCGCACTCGGCGTCTCCCTACGGCGGGGACCAGAAGTACGTGATGGTGCCCGGCGGGGTGCAAGGCCTGGTCTCGGGGGCGGTGATGATGCAGGGCGGGGGCGACGGCCGGCACGGGCGGCCGTCGACGACCCTGCGGCTGGGCAGCGGCAAGCCCGTGGCGCAGGAGGAGCTGGTGGCGCAGCTGGACGAGATGGTGCAGCCCGACCCAAGCCTCCACTTCAGCTTCGAGCGGCCCAAGCGCAACACCAGCAAGAAGCGGTCCAGCCTGCTGAGCCTGGAGGAGATGCACGAGGACGTGCTGTACGCGCTGGTGGGCTGCACCAACGTGGGGTGGAGCATAAAGAGCATCAGCAACCAGTCCAAGGATTTCCTGGCCAACAGGTGGGTGCCGATGAAGTTGCTTGTATGTGTTGCGTCACATTCTGTGAAGTTCCGAAGAACGGACCCTCCCAAGTTATAGTGGCTTTGGGTCCTGATCGCATCGAGGTTCAGCGCTCAGCAGCTTCATGTCTGGTGCCCTGTGCTGGAGTGTCTCGAAAAATGTTCAGAGCCTCCCTTCTCATCCCCCAGTGGTATCAATGTAGTCCACAGGGTGGGTGTGGTTATCAGTACAAAGACTGGAGGGGCATCGTGCAGCGCGCGGTCCTTAGCACAGTTTGCAAGACAGCAATTGATGAAACAGTGACGCGAAGGTTCCCAGGGCAAATAGCCACTTGAGCAACAAATGGCAATATGCAGCAGTGGTGGAAGAACAACCAAGGGAGCCTGGCCATTGGCCATGGGTTGGTTGTCTCATATCTCGTCCCCTGCATCCATTGCATGCAGGGGTGTATCCTTTGTCCCAGACTGTAGCAAATGATGCCTAAGGAGCAGTGGACTCTGTAGATTCATTGTGACAAGAACAATAAATATTCGCAGCAGGTACTGTGCTCCTAGCAAGTTGATTGTGAGATTCTTGTTTCCTACTGGAAAGGATGGTGTAGAAGCCTGTTGTGAAAGGTAGATTCAATGGCTGTCGAGTCTCAACCCTCATATTTGCATTTGAGAGCAGGTCCACAATGCTGAGCATGGGATTCGATGGGTGTTGTGTATGTTACATGACATTGATTGATAGTGGCGCAGTTATAACATATATCAACCAACAACTGACAGAATAGTGGGAATTTTAAGTGATTAGAATTTATAGCAGGTCCTACACTGGGCACACTTTCTGAGCTAGAATTTCTGTTAGACTGATCATGTTGAAGAGTAAGGTGCACTCTCCCCTCTTGCCCAGACCTTGTGAATGTGCCCTCCTGTAATGTTGGCCACTGAGCTGCATTGCCGTAGGCACAGCTTTCATTGGTCCCATAGCACATTGAATCAAGAAGATGATGCCACTGTCCAACGTACTCCCGTCGCAGAGTCCAGGACATGGATCCAATGCCACCCGCTATTGATGATGCTTGTGCACACTCTGGCACAATCCAGCCCCAGCCCGAGCACTTGAATTGCCCATCATTGCCTGCTGAGCACAAGGGCGAGGATGTGCACCACTCAGATAGTGCAATCACTTTGGTTTCTCGTCGCTGGCCCAGAGGCGATGGGTGTGTCCATGCACAGGTGCGGCATTACAAAGGACCTCCTCCAGCTATTCTTCAAGAACCGTGCGCAGCGTCCCAAGCGGCAGCGCAGCGGCCGCAAGTCGGGCGCCTCCCTGCCCCCCTCCCATGCCCCAGGCCAGACATCGCCCCTTGTCCCCCCCGCTCTGCCCTCCCTCCACCCGCACCTGTCCCCACAGGGTCTGCACCCCTCTGGAGCCGGGGCCAGGGTCGGGGCCGGGCAGCCAAACCCGTTGGCGCACATCAACCAGCTGCAGCCCCTGGGTCAGCTGCAGCCGCCCTTTCACCATCCTGGGGGGCTCCAGATGCCCTTCCAGACCTCCTCGCAGCCCTTTCAGTCTCCAGGGCACTCCCTGCCGGGGCTGGGGCTGGGCACGCTGCAGGGCCTGGGCGCCCTCCAGGGCATGAGCC